ATCCCTCTAAACCCCCCATTTTCCCCCAATGACTTCGATCCCCCCTGAAATCGATGGATACCAGACCCATTTAAACAACATCGCATCTAAAACACTCTATATGTACTTTACAACCTAGTCATACTTCACTAATGAATGCCAAATTGGGATAGTGAACCTCTCATAATGGAAAACCATCCCCTATAGCACCTAGAATTCTATTTAAACCGAATAAATCATACCAGTACTTGACATTCCATCAACCGTCCATTAATGCCATCATAAATACCATCGATTTTCCTGGAATGATTACAAAAAAAATCACCAACTTTACAAGAAAAAAAAAAATCAATCAAGTATGAAAATAAATAGAGAATTTAATTTCAAATTCAATTGTCCCCTAAAAAAATGTTATGACAAAAGATTTTATGCTTCAATATATGAATAATAATTACTCAATTAAAAAATGATAAAAAATGAATAATCAATTTTTTTCTCGGAACGAATATTCCAGTTGTTATTGTTTTATTGATATTATAATCAGAATTTATTCGTTATCATTTGTTATTTGATGTTTTAATGACTCAGTCGACGACATCAACGATTAGATCCTCTTCAAGGATAAACAAATCCCGAGGAAATGGTCCAGACTAGTGCTAATTGGCACATCGAGTATTTACACTCAATAATTGAGGAAATGGAGCGATTGAATTCCCCGAGCTTTTTTTATCACTGTCTGATAAATATCCAATTTCATTAGATTTCAACTCTTTCCGTCGTTACCCGGGTGTCCAATTTGCATCGTAAAAATCTTTATACATCCTCATAAACCGACACTTTATGACGTGAAATTTTACGATTCCAATGACAGAATGGAAAGAAGAGAAGAGTGAAATCGAACAAGTGGAAATAACGATATTGTAATCTCTCGTTTTTCTCCCATTCTCACCCCCAGATCGATCGATACACCCATAAATTCCGTCTCCGGAGGTAAACGATTAGCTTCAAACAGACGTAAAGCCATTGCCCTCAAGATATTAATCATTCCGGGATATTACGCCCGATTACATTCCGGTGATTCATCACGATTAAAAAAACGGAGACCTGTGATGTTGGACGGCACTTCGGGGTTACAGATGGATTTGTGGTGTGAAAGAATAGGAAATCTCATCGCACCATGCAATCTATCTGTCCCCAATCCTCCAACAAGACAGCTGTGTCCATGTCCAATAGCCATCGTCCATTCGCAATGGAATGCGTCGTTTACCGTTTATTTAATCCACCGGAGTGATAGCTGCCAAAAATCTTTTCTAACCAGCATTAATTAACCCAGGAGTAACTGCATAAATAAATTATTTTAATTGCACCAATCAATACCGTTAACAACCACCATTGACTACCGAATCAATTTAGTTACTGGAGATCATCAGGGGTTGCCTCCCCTGGGGCAATAAAATTTTTACAAAAGTACATACTTCCTCGATAAAAATGTCTTGGAGGTGTGTAGATGAATCCATCGACTCCCGAATTCTTTCGAAACAATTAATCACTCTGATTATCTCCTTGTCAACAGTTTGAGCAATTAGCATTCACCTGGATGGAGCGGCAAAAACTCGGTGGTTCATATTCATCGCACCGTGCGCAGAGCGAAAAACATGTGGTAGTTTGCAGTACAACACTTCAAGCGGACACCATAATGGACTTTCTAAACGAGTTTTATGCCCACCCCTTGCTGCAAGTAAAGTCAATTTAATCGTTCATTAAACTGAAACAATATTCCCGACCAATTTACCTTTTCCTAATGAAAAAGAGTATAAACGATTTCACTTGTTGGATGGGTTTTTTTTTCTATATTTACTCAGGATTACTACGTTGTACTGCTGTCACCTATGGAATTAGATACAACGATGAGGATGATACTGCAAGTACCCATTTGGGCCCAGAGGGTTATTTACATACAGGGTTCGTGCTTGAAGGACGGTGACCTTGCTAGGGCCAGGATGAATGAGGCTGAAGCGTGTTTTGTACTTGCGGCGAG